TGCCAGGGGTCCCGCAATAACCTCAGCTAATTCCCTCAGCACTCTGGGGCAGAGATCGTCTGGATTAGCTGATTTAAATACATCCAGTCCATCCAGAAGTTCCCTGACTAGATCCTCACTGACCCTTGGCCTAGGTGCACCTCCCCTGGGGCTTGATTTGGTCCCTGCTCAGGAAAATGGAGGCAAAGAAGTTGTTAAATAGGTTAGCTTTGTTGTGTGGTGTGATGACCTTATTTCCTAGCGTGTCTTGCAGGGGCCCACATTACCCAGAACCTTCTTTTTGCCCCCTATGTATTTAAAAAAGGACTTCTTCTTGTCATTGATCTGGGTAGCTAGTCCAAGTTCCATCTGTACCTTGGCCTTCCTGACCACCCCCCTGCAGCCTTGAGCAACCTCAGTATAGTCCTCCCTGATGATGGCCCCTCCCTTCCATTGGGTGTACGCCTCCCTTTTAGGAGACATTCCTGGATGCTTTTGGTGAGCCATGGGGGCTTTTGCACCTTCCTGCTCCCTTTGATCCCTGTTGGGATAACCTCCCTTTGGGCTTGGAGGATCGTCTCCTTAAGGAGCGACCACTCTTCTTGCACACCTGACTCCCCTCCCCTCTGGTACCTCAGTGCCTCCCTGAGTATTCTCCTTAGCTCATTGAAGTCCGCCCTCCTGAAATCTAGGGCTTCTGCCTTGCTGCAGGCCTTTACCACCTTGTGCTGGATGGTGAATTCCAGTAGGTGATGATTGCTGTCGCCCAGGTAGCCTAACCACTACCAAACAGAGGGGAAGAATCACTTCCCTTGATCTGCTGGCAACGCTCCTACTAATGTAGCCCAGCCCAGTATGCTGTTAGCCTTCTTCACAACAAGAGCACACTGCTGGCTCGTATCCAGCTTATTTCCCACTATAACCACCAGGTCCTTTTCTTCAGAGCTTCTCCTTAGCTAGGCAGGCCCCAGCCTGTACCGGTGCATGGGATTGTTTCGTCCTAAGTGTAGGACTCTGCAGATCCTTCCTTTAGATGCTTTGTTCAGATCCTTCCTTTAGATCCTGCCTTAAAATTCTCTTTTGCCATGATATCTACAAAAATCTGTTAATGTACTAAAACAACTGCCCCCCCCCCCCCCCCCGTTAACTTTATCTGTC